ACGATTGCAGCAACTCTAGAGGTCCATCTATAGAGAAGTGATTCCTATTGTGTAAACACACCCCATGCATGTCAGCTGTCAGTCAGGCTCATGGCGTAAACGTCCATCACAGCTTCATGGAACATATATTTGCAGATGAACGCTGGCCTAGCTTGACCTGGCGATCCCTCTGATTTACAATGCATTGAGCAAAATACACCACGCCTAATGCTTCCGAATCTTCCTCTCAACAAAAGTGACTGCCGCCAACTTGATTTAATCAATTATAAATAATAACAATAATAAAGTGATTGTAATTGCTTCACATTTTTTTTTTATAAAATAACAAACATGTTCTACTTACCCGCTCTGTGTAATGGCTTTGCACATTACACAGCCCCAAATCATCCGTCTCTCAGGTTCCCCACTGGAGCACCAGGCTCCTCTTTAGTCCAGTGCTCCCATAAAAAAAAGCCACCTCCTAGGGAGCACTCATGTGGGCTCACTCCCAAGCCCCGCTGCCTGCATCCATAGACACAGAAAGCATGGCCCTGCCCCCCCCCATCACAGAGTTTCATTGACAGCAGCAGAAGCCAACGGCTCCTATTGTTATGGATCTGCCCTGTGTGGAGGGACAGACCGGAGAGAGCCGCTGCTCTCATGCACAGCACTGGACTGCAATGAGGCTCAGGTAAGTATAAGGTGGAGCTGGGGGGGGGAGGAATCCCTTGCATAGAATTCATTAAGGTACAAAAACTTGAGGCTTTAGAACCACTTTAATATAAAGTAATTATATATAATTTTAATACTATACACAATTATAATATAAATGAAAATATAAAGTGATGAAAAAAAAAGTCAATTAAAAAAAACAAAAACAAACAAGAAACCTAAAAACACAAAGCAACTGTAACCAACTTGATTTAAATAAATTAGAATATAAATTATTATTATTAATAGAATGATATGTATGCCCCTTGAGGGTTAGGGACTGTTGTGAATGTAACACACGCACACACACGCACGCACGTAAATTGACAGCGCTATATAAATCACATAAAATAAATAATAATAAATTATAGAATAAAAAAAAAATTAAAAAAAACAAATTAGAAATAAAACCGACTAAAAAAAAACCTCAAAACTACTGTCACCAACTTAATTTAAATAATAATAACAATTTGTAATAATTATTACAAATAATAATAATAAATATTAAAAATATAAAACTTTTACATAAATTAAGCCGGAGTATTTATTTTCAAGTGTTAAGTGAGCAAAAATTTAAAAGTAATTTGCATGTTTTTTTATTTGACTTTTTTTTTTAATATATTTTTTTTTAAGCTTTTATTTTTCAAGGTTTTGTGCGCAAAAAAGTTTAAAAAAAGTAATTTGGCAATATAATATTTTTTAACTTAACTTACAATGATATATTTTATAGGTTATTAGTATAATCATTCATTTTATGTACTCAGTTTTTTTTATTTTTAAGTAAAATTAAAGAGCCACAAGCCGACAGCTCACTGCCGCCTACAAGATCAGCACTAGTGTCCCCCAGATACTTTGTTCTGCTGGGAATTCTGATTCACTGCCGGATAATAATTCTACACCCACTGCACCTCCAGCCTGCGTCTTCCCAGAAAGCCACAAACAAGAAACAGATGAGATCTATGTCACAGTGCTGAAGATTCCTGCTTGGGGTCTAAAGGCTTTCAAGGGTTCGGGGAAGAACCCGGATGGACTGCATGACCCCAGGCCGTGTACAGTGGTAAGCCAATGGGTGGCGCTCCCTGAAGGTAGCAATGTTCCTGTAGGTCTTAATGCACCAAATACAGTCAAAATGCTGCATTCAGCCTTCCCTGCAGTCTGCCCAGTTGTAGCGGCTCCTCTGCTGGACTGGAACGGCTTCCTCTGATGTCACCCATCGTTGGTGTCAGTGGGGGGAATAGCGCCCCATCGTTGGTGTCAGGGGGGAACAGTGCCCAGGGGCCAGATAAAAGCAATAAAAGCAAGCAAAGGGCCACATCTGGCCCCCGGACTGCAGTTTGGAGACCACTGATCTAGCTCTTTCCTCCTCTGGCCCGTCCCTTTTATTCACTGGATTTTCGTTCTTTCAGTCATGGAGGCTCAGCTTCCTAGGGTGGTCTGCATGCAAAATTCAGCCCGCTTAGAATGCCCCATCCTCCAGACTGACCCCCCCCCCCCCATCAAGGCATTTTGATATTTGCACAACTCCCAGGAGCCAACCCACTACTTGCATTAGTGCTTCGCTCTCGAGAGGAATACTGAGGCTGTGAGGTTTTCAGGAAGCTATGTACATGTACAGCACCCTGCTGGCCCCTCCCACCAGCCATGATCTGTCAGCATTGCATTGACAAGCACAGAGACCCAGTGACGACAGCATTGGGTCTAAAATGAGGCATGTAACAAAATGGAAAAGGTTTTATTTAGAAATTTAATCAGCATGTTAATGGGGGAGGAGCCAAGTAGAATATACATCAGCTTTATATTTGCTACAAGTGATATATTAGCAGAAGTCGTGTATCTGCAGACCATCGCAACGTCTTCCTTGCAATCCATCCGCACACACAGCTTCTATTCATGACTTACCACCATGCTGGCGCTCCGACTGTTTGCACAAGCACACCCTCTATTGTACAAGCTCTGAACGGTCACTTTATAAACTGCCATTCCCCTCCTGTCACTTACCGTAACTGCAGATCCCAGACTGAAACCACGTTCCTAACCCAAAACAATCCAAAAGAATACAAAGTATTCCAAATGGAGATGTATTCTGTCTTTAAAATGGGACTCTAGGAAACACATTGCAAAGTCAGATCCAGCATCTGTGTCCCCATTTAAGCAGAATCTCCCCTTGCTTCCTGTGCTGGTGACACAATCAGGAAGTGAGCACAAATGCCCCATTGGGGACACAGACAATCAAAACCAGACAGAGCTTCCAATTTCCACCCTTCTGAAAAAAGGTTTCTGAATGCCTTTGTAACACGCTGTGAATGCTTCCTTGAACTTACTCAAAGAGCAAATTAAAGTGTTACTAAACCCACAACAGTACGATCAGTCTGTAGATGCAGTAAAGCATGTGTGTTATACTCACCGTGGAGCCTAAGGGGTTAAAGAAAAAAAAAGCTGAGCAAAACGCAGTAAAGATGCATCAAAAACACGTGTAGGAAAAAAACCGCAAAACAAAAAAACTGCGAAAAGAACTGCAAAACGGACAAAAATCAAAACAGCATGTATAGGTGTGAACGGAGCCTGTTATGCAGGCCATACATGGTTCAAATTCCGAAACGATTTTTTGTCCGAAAATCGTAAACGTCGTTCGCTCGGTAATCCGATGGCGCCATCATTGATTTCGAAAAAATCGGCCGACCGAGTCATAAAGTTCACCCCATATAACAGGCGAAACTTCTGTTTCTTCCAGGTCACGGCTCATGCGCATATTCTTTTCGGAAAAATGATCGTACGATTTGACCATCGAGTCAAAAATCGGTCGTTTTTCACAAATTTTTCAACATGCCTGATCACCGAAAAGGGGAGGAATCACGAAAATCGGCCGGTGCCATTGACCCGCTTAGGCTACGTTCACACTAGCGTTGTCAGCAGGCGGCAGACAGGCGTTTGGGAAGCGTTTTTTACCGCTTTACAAACGCCTGTGAAAATTCTGCACATTGCAGCACATGGTGCTGTTCACACGGAAGCGTTAGCGTCGCGGCAAAACGGACGCCTCTGGTCCAGTCAGGAGGAGTTAAAGCCTCCTATTCAAGTCTATGGTGCCGCTTCGCAAACGCCTGGCCGGTGTTTGCGACGTGGTTGTGAGGCATTTGCGGAGCGTTAACACCATTCAAACTTCATTATAGGCGTTTGTGGGGCGTTAATGCTTGGCAAATGCCTACCAACTGCCGCTAAAACCGCGCATACGGTGGTTTTTGGAGCGTTTGCAGAGCGTTAAAAAATGCTACACAAACACCAGACCAACACTTGTCAAATGCTATAGGGGCGATTGCCAAACGTTGAAAAAAAAAGTCAAGTGTGAACGAAACCTAACAGAGCGAAAATCGGGCGATTATTCTTAGGTCCGATTTTTCGGACGAAAAATTGGTTGATTTTCGACCCATGTATGGCCGGCATTAGATTTTTTTCCAACTGACAGAAGCAGAATGAGCCAATTAGGGCCAGCCATACATGGGTCGAAAATCGACCAATTTTTCAATAATCGGCTGATTTTCGCTCTGTTAGTGGGTCAATGGCTCCGGAACGATTTTCCTGGTTTCCTCCCCTTTTCGGTGATCGGGCATGTTGGAAAATGTGTGAAAAACTACGATTTTCGACTCAACGATGGTCAAATCATACGATCGTTTTTTCCAAAAAGAATACGCACATGAGCTGTGACTTGGAAGGAACAGAAGTTTTGCCTGTTATATGGGGTGAACTTTATGAACTCGGTCGGCTGATTTTTGAAAACATTGATGGCACCATCGGATTACCGAGCTAACAACGTTTTTTCGATTTTCGGACGAAAAATCATTCGGAATTCCACCTGTGTATGCCCTGCATAAAAGGCTCCGTTCACACCCATGCATGATGTTTGCTTTTTGTTCGTTTTACAGTGAATGTCGCAGTTCGTTTTGCATTTTTTTTTTACCGCGTTTTATATGGGATGAATTTTATGACTCGGTCGGCTGATTTTCAAAATCAATGATGGCACCATCGGATTACCGAGCGAACGACGTTTCCGATTTTCGGATGAAAATTCATTCAGAATTTGAACCATGTATGGCCTGCAGTCTTTTGTTGGTAGCCCTGAGTGGAAGGGGTTAAAGTCGCTGGTGAACGGATCACCGCAGCTGAACTCTGATGAAATCTTGTGAAGTGATGACAGGAGATTTTCACATTCTCTCTGTAGATGTGATCACACTGCCAGGGAGTCATTCCTGGTGTCAGTTTGGCTACGGCACAAACCTGTCACCCAACTCGCCCGCATACTACTCTGCACAGAGGCGGACTGACAACTCATGGGGCCCCCGGGCAATAGGGGATCATGGGGCCCCTGTGTCCAAACTCGAAATATGAAAAAGGTACCAGGGGCATCTCATGGGGCCCCCTACCAGGGGCGGACTGACAACTTATGGGACCCCCCGGGCAATAGGGGATCATGGGGCCCCTGTGTCCTTGCCCAAACTCAAAAAAGCCTATGAAAAAGGTACCAGGGGCATCTCATGGGGCCCCCTACTGACCCCGGGGCCCTCGGGCAGTGCCCGAGTTTCCAAATAGTCAGTCCGCCCCTGACCTCCGCCATAAACAAAAAAAAAAAGTTAAAAAAGTTAAATCCAATCTCAAAAACCCATAAAAACACTTAAATATGTTAATGTCACAAAAGCCGTTTTCAGTATTTCAATCTTTCTAAATCTGCATCTTTTAATACAATATCCCCCGATGACCCGGCCATGATGATTCTCGTTTATCCACATCCTGTTAGAGGGTGACAACGCTCTGTCCCTGTCTGCCATTGTGATCCTGCCTTGTCACCCCATCACATGGGCTTCCACGGGTGACTACAAAGTGTTTATTTCAGCACAGAGTATACAGCATGATCCACTGTTGTCACCAAGCAGGAAACCCGCCCTGGAAATGTCACGTAGGCATCACTGGAGTGCATGTAGGCAGGAAGTGGTTGCAAAGTGGCCTCAGAAGATCAGCAGCAAAAACAGAATTAAAAATAAAATAAAAAAAAAGGTGGAAATCGTTTTCTCTAAAAAGGAAAAAAAAAATACATGGCAATGGGTGAACATTGGTACAATGTAACAAATTATTTAAAAAAAGTGGAAATTGTATTTTTTTCCTTTTTAAAGAAAACTATTTCCACTTTTCTTTTTAATAATTTGTTACATTGTACCAATGTTCACCCATTGCCATGTAACGATGATTAAAAAAAAAAAAAAGTGGAAATAGTTTTCTCTAAAAAGGAAAAAGATACACGGCAATTGGTGAACATTGGTACAATGTAACAAATTATTTAAAAAAAAAAGAAAAGCAAAATAGGGTGTTCTTTCTAAAAAGTCGTGTGTAACACCTTTCCCACCCTTGGAAACAAATAAATGTTAATGAGCAACTCACACCTAAGCTAATTTTCAACGCATACTGCTGTCTCTGCTTCTACTCTCTGTATTTCTGTGAAACAGTCTGAAATAGTCAATAAGTTACCACTTTTCAGTGCATTCTGGGCATTTGGGAGGTTCTCCTGTGCTTATCTTTAAAAAAAAAAAATGCTTCTAAACGCAAATGCGCATAAACGTATTATGCAAACGCGGCTAAACAGACTTTTTTTAACCTACGTTTTCCAACAGTCAGTTTTCCATCATTCAGTGTCCTGTGTACATGGGGCCTAATGGTACAACTAAACAACATTCAGCTACATTACATCAACCCCAATGCAATGAATAGGTTAGAAAAAATATATACAGCACTGTTATATTCTGGAGAATGCAATATGGCAATCTGCAGGTGTTCTGTACACAGATGGTATACAAAGCGCCCCCCAGAAATTTCATTTCCCCTCTTGTGTGATTGGCCCCACTGATTTTTCCCAGAAGTCTGCATTAAGATACAAGTCAGATTTTGGGGCATCCCCTGCAACAAAAATTTCATTTTGTGAGCTACCCGGGGGCCCCATGAGTTGTCAGTCCGCCCATGGGTGTCTCTTGTTGTGACTCAGATCGACAGTTTGTCAATGTCACCTACTGGTGACATCTGGTATTACAGCATGAATGTAAAATACCTCCATCTCCATTCCCTACACGGGCCCATAGTTTTGCGATCATTCCTTCAAGAGCCAAGTCTTTTGGAATAAATAATGAGTTAATGGGAAACGCCAATTTGCTTTTTTTTTTACTAATTGTAAAGTAATGGCCACACCCTTAACTACCCCTGCAGGGGTGGGGGGGGGGCACCAGCCCATACATCTGCTTCTTTAAACTACTAAAGAACATCAGCATATGGACAGGGGCGGACTAACAACTCATGGGGCCCCCAGGGCAATAAGGGATCATGAGGCCCCTGTGTCCTTGCCCAAACTCAAAAAAGCCTATGAAAAAGGTACCAGGGGCATCTCATGGGGCCCCCTACTGACCCCCGGGCACTGCCTGAGTTTCCAAATGGTCAGTCCGCCCCTGCATATGGATGATCCCCACCCTGTTACCCCCAATTATAGTGTATCAAAATAAAAAAAAACAAATTTTGGCTTTGGATAGAGTAGGGAGGGTGACAACCCCTGTTGGTTCATTTTTTTGCCAGCCGTATCCCATTGGAAAGATTTCCCTTCACTTCCTGTCCCACAGATGCAGCAGGAAGTGAGAGCAGATGTCTTCAGCTCCATTTACACCAAGCAGGTGCGACAGAAGACGATTTTGCGCATTTCTGAGCATTCATTTTAATGGGCTGCCCTATGTGCTGGAAAACGCGCACCCTGACCCTTTTTTAAATAAAAAAAAATTGTGCGGCGCCAAAATGCACGCAATACCAAGAGGCATCATAGCGCCATAAGGGCCACCAAGCATCTGC